ATTTTGTTCCCCATCCATCTTTCCGGAAACAGCCTTCTTTCCCTGGACCTACAGGCTACCCTCCTGCACACCTCCACCTGCCTGGGTAAAGTTAGTGCTTAATGTTTCCCAGGTCCTGGTCCCTGGGAAGACTGGGCCTCCTGCCTGCCTGCGTGGCCAGGGAGGATGGGGCAGAGGGATGTGTGTGACCAGGGCTGGAAGAACACAAATTGAGAACTGTTGAACAGGAGGGAAGCGGTTAACCTGCAGAGGAAGGAATGTTTGGCCCATCTCTTCTTGGACTCAGTCTGTCGCCTATTGGAAGCATTGGCCCTCTCTTTGCCTCTTGGGCAGGGTTGCATTCCCATGTGGCCTTTGAATTTTTTTTGTATGCAACTAAATTGTACAGCACCCGCTGCTTCTATTTTAGTCAGAGACCTTATCTTGAGGGTTTTAGTGATTTGGTTTCAAAATCTACTTAGAATGTGTAATTTCACACCCTCTGCCACCTTGGGAAGGGGGGGGATGTCCCGTGGGATGCTGGTGTGAGAAACAAGACTCACATTTTATATCTTCTTTCAATGTGGAAAAGCCCACTTAAAGGAAAAAATACATTGTTGATCTATTGGGATCATTCATTTTTAGAGAACACAAATGTATTCCTGTACCTTTGACCATTTAAATAATCCTTTTGACCACTTAAATAATCCTTCCAGTGTGTATAATACTGAGATGCTGGGAACACTCTACCACCTGAATCACTCAGTACTGCAGCATCTCTGAGATTAGGAATTTAAACCCTTGGATGTGGAGCTTTAGAGTTAAATGTCATACTTTACCAAATTGGGTTTTCTCTGTGGATCGGGAAGAATGGGCAGTTAAGAATCGCCAAGGCATATTTATACTTGGGATCACTGCTGAAGAGGAGTTAAGTTTTTCTTGGGTCTTGATTGTGATTAAATTCAGTTGCAAGTATTGTTACATATTTTCAAAGTTTTCCTTTCTGTCCTTGCTGTTTTTATCTAAGGTGTTATAATTAAAGATCAGAGAAGTAAATAATTTTTGGAAGGATGCTTCCAATAAAACATTTTGATGATTATGTGTTTACAGATGTCCTCTCAGTTCCTCTTATGGCAACTATGTTTGATCAGGAGCTTAGGAGGTAACCTCAGCAATTTGAACTCTGGCGGTATTTGTAGAATTAAAAAAAAAGTGTCAAGGGGTTGAACTTAACTTTTAGTAATGCCACTTAGGAGCAGGAGATTAAATTTTTGTTGAGTGGGTTTTGGGATATTGATTGACTTCATAGGCACATGGAGCTCTCAGCCTATATTTATGCTTTCTGAGCTTTAGGGAACTTGCGGCCACATTTTTCTTTCTTTCATTTGCTGTGTTAAATGTGACCTCCAGTCCTTTCTTCTTTGTGGGTCCACCTCATAGGGATAAGTCTGGGTTCTAAGAAGAGTCTGAATTAAACCTAATCTTATATTTGACCACCTTCAGAGAGAAAAAAGTAAAATTTTTTATTTACTGATTTTTGAGTCAGTGGGAGCCTTCTTGGGCAAGCAGAAGGCCTGCATGGAGTCCTGTACATTAGGCCAGCCTACACGTTTGGCGGGCAGACTTTCGCTGAAAATTACTTCCAAACAGGCTCACAGTACTTTACTGCCCACCGGACTTGCTCATAGCAAAGCTGGATGTCGCTGCGTGTTGCTTAATAGATAGGCACTTGTGTTATATTATTCAGCAAATACTGCATATGCCTCAGTAGCAGGTGACTGTAAATACAGGATAGTCCCCCTATTTTCCCAATGAGAAGCTACTTAAACCTTCTTTTGGGCCATTTGGGATATGTAAACTTTTTAGGTATGTATAGAAACAAATATCAACTTAGACTGTTCATTAATTCAGTTACAGTTAGACATTAGGAATGAATTGTATAAAATATATCAATTCCTGTTTGGTTCATGAAACAGTTTTCCCCCCACTGTTCCCTGGCATCTTTCGCATCAGGGTTTTGGTTATCACAGAGTTGCATGGAATCCTCTGACCTGGTTAGCAGAGCCTCTCACTTTCACTTGAGCCATTTGAGATGAGGTGTATTTTCAGTCAGTTAATTACGCTGCCCCTGGAAATTTTATACCAGCTTACAAGTACCCACTGCCTGAGGTTAGGAGTGTTGGTCTCTGCATTTGCCTGCTTGCATACTTGTCATGATGTGTTACTTCTTAAAATAACCTTTAAAAAGCCCTGTTTGAACAGCAGTGCTAAGCATTGCAGTTACTAAAATGTGAGCTAAGTTTCTCAGCCTGTTGTTTTTAGTCTTGCAAGGTCACCCCTTTAATACCTCTAGCATTGATCAAGATGTTTCAGGGCAGCATGTCTTTCTAAAAGGGTTTTGTGGGGCTCCCAACTTGAGTAATTCAAAGACTACTTCTAAATATACTTTAATGAGGACCCTAATATAAGAAAATGCCTGTTTTGTTTTTTATTCTGAGTGATTTTTTTTGAAACTCCCTCGCCTTATATTTGGGCATACACAGAATTTACTGGGTACCCACCCTGTGCCAGGCACCATTCTAGGTGAACTGAGTGGCATGGGCTCTCGTTATGGAGCTGACTTTGAGGGTTGGAAGCCATTCTACTTTCTGCTCTCATGAGGTTCCTGTCAATTGATGTCAATCTGGGACTTTCTGAAGATTAGGAGGAAGGACATTATCACCACTTAAAGAACTATAGGAAGCTTGGGTAATGGTTTTGATGATAAAAAACATAGGCATTAGAGCCTAATTAGCTTGTGTTATGTGTCTTACAGTACTTTAGGACATGTTTAAATTGGAAACGTCTTCTGTTTCTTTCAGCCACTGTGACTGGGACCCAGTAATGGGAAAAGTCAAATGGGAGGACCTTACAAGGGAATCTAGTGAATGTTTTATGACTACACATATATGTATGTATTCATTCACCATTTTCTGTCGACCAATGGTCGTTGTCACCAATTCGGTGCCAACAGTAATTCCCAATTTGATGTGGGATGAGGAAGGAAACTTTATTCAGTGTAAAACAGCTCAGTGGTGATAGTGCACGGCTTTGAAAACCGCGCGGTTGTCAGGCGGTCCCGGGCCAGGCGTCTGTTCAGCCAGCACCCTCCCCGGGCTGCTCCCCCCTGTCCCGGGAGCCCTCTCTGTCTCAGCGGCCCTGAGGGAAACAGGGCCGCACTCTTCGGTCTTTGGTAGGAAGGGAGAGCGTGCTCGCTGAGCCAGAGGGGAGCTGACTTATGTAGACAGAAGGCCTGCCCTGGGGCCCTACTGGGTCATTCCTCGTGCAAATGAGGACTCCAACTCCTTGCAGTTTGGCTGGTCCAAAAGGCACTGTCCTCCTTGGTCAGAGTGGAGCTGCTCTGGTTGGTCAGTGAAGATACTGATGGGGATACAGCTGCACGGATCCCGTGGGAAGGGCAAGCTTCAGGCGTGGCTGACATAGGATTCCGGGCGCTCCTCTGTAAGGGCTGCTCAGCTGCAGGGGCACAGTGCCGGCGGGCAGGCAGAGCAGAGGCAGGGAGTTTAGTGCAGGCTTCTCCCCGAAGCGCAGTTTGTGTGAGAGACCATTGTCTAGAAATGTGTGCCAGGCTCTGTTTTTTTGTTTTTGTTTTGAATTTAAGCCCAGTGAAGCCACCAGGAGCTCTTGTTGGTAGGCATCTTCTTTCTCAGGGTCCACAGTTCCAAATTCCCCTTCTAGGTTAAGCTACTGCCACAATTTATGATTTTCTATTTGTTTCTTTCAAATGGACTGAGAACTAAGAATTAAAAAAATTCTGAGTGGGGCACCTTCTAAATTTTACATAATTCTCCCTCAGTGTGTGTGTTTCACAATTTTGTTTATTTTTATTTTTTAAATATATCTTTATTGATTTCAGAGAGAGGAAAGGAGAGGGAGAGAGAGATAGAAACATCAATGATGAGAGAGTCATTGATCGAGCCCACAACCCGGGCATGTGCCCTGACCGGGAATCGAACCCTGATCGCCTGGATCCTAGGTCAGCGCTCAATCGCTGAGCCACGCCCTGCCGGGCTGTTTCACAATTTTAAAGCAGTCTGTTTTTGGTGACTCTTTCCTAAGCAGTCACCATGGTTTTTCAAGGAGTAACCTTTTGCACTCAAGCTTCTTTGGTTTGCATAATATTTAATTCAAGTTTATATTTGCTGTTCTGAGTACACTTGCATAAACATGGTTGGGAATCAAGACAATGGATTTCTGGTAAGCACAGGCCTCCTGGGCAGGAATGATGGCTTGGACAGCAGTTGGCCAGGCTTCAGCCTTCTGTGGGGATGGTCATCTTGTGGAAGAAGTGGAGTGTTGGTTGTCCAGCTGGTCAGCTAGCTGGGGGCCAGTGAAGAGAATATCTGAGGTATCTGGAAGCAAACCAACATGTTCCGTAGTCATCCATAGTTAGCAGCTTATGATTGAGATTTTGTATTTTAACAATTCTGAGTGCCTACCATGTACTCACATTTTGAC